GTTAGAATGAGTAGTTGGCTCCCCATGTCCCCGAAGAACTAACATCACCAAACCACCAAACCACCAGAAATGTAAATCTGATGGTTTTTAATTGGGCATGTGTTGTGTGGTACCAGATTGCCTCATGGTCATAGAACAATCATGTGCAACTATTTAGACCCTGATATCAATGTGACGAGTTGCCAAAATTTGAGCTTCCAAGTCGTAACCAGCCTGGGCGTGCGACCATGAAGGTTTCCTGGGGAATTCGGATTCCTTACTCTCCAGGTTCTTTTCCCTGCAAGCAGTTTAGGACTTGCTGGGTGATGGGCTCAATAGGTGTTTCCCATGTGGCTGCAGTTTTAGGGTTGCCTCAGGTGAAATGGGAACTCCTTTTCCTCCCTACTTTGACACCTGACTTGGACCCCTGATCAACTTTCAAGTCTTGGGACTGCCGCGTCGATAGCTCAGATCTGATCTTCCGCGAGCGCGAAGCGCGAAGCAATTCAGAGACTCACGGAAGCCAGCTACGGGTCTTTTCTGAAAAGCGTTGAGAGCAACTCATTCATAGAAATCCGAATTCGGTGTTCATGGGTAACTACTCCATAGCAAGAAATCCTCACAATTCAGTTGTTCATGAAATCAAGTTACAAAAAACTACTGCTGGTTTGCGGTTACGCGACCTGGGTGCTGATTCCTGCTTGGCTTCCGAGGCTGCTCCGGCTCCGATGGATCGAAACCGGACCAAAACCGCTTGAAGCTCTGGCCAACCGCAAAGAACCGATTCCTCAAAAACGGTTTCGACGTGTTTCACCAAGTCAGTCTAGTTGTCTAGGTACCCCAGCTAGGTGCCCTGTCTCACCTTCTTTTTTTTGGGGGTTGGGAGGGTTCCCCTACCAAAATAGACTACGTAGGAAAAAAATGGTACCCTTATTCTAACCTCTCTACAGGAGGAGCTAGTTGTCTATGAATATTCACTATTCTATAGACTTTGTGATATTGCCTTATGAGGGCTAGGATAAGTTCAGGAGAAGCCCAGAAGGCTTTGGACACCCTCAAACTGTAGGACCATGTCATGAGAAGTTGGGGCAATGGGCTCCGCATTTGATCTCTTTTGAGAGTGTGTCATACTCAAAAAGGGGCATTTGGGCTTGGGTTCCAAATATTGAAAAGGGCCAGTTGTGGGATGCTCAAAGGAAGACCTGTTTAACTAGGCCCCCCCGGCTAGGTGCCAACTTTTACCGTTTCTTTTTTGGTTGGGAGGGTTCCCCACTGCAGAAAAAGGGTACCCTTATTCTAACCTCTCTATTGGAGGACCCAGTTAAAGTGCAAAAGGCGCAACTGCAGCTCCCTTTTGGAGGGCGGAAGGCAAGAGCTCCAGGCTGCGATTCAAGTTGTCAAGTTGCCCCTGCCCCGTCTCCCTGGGGGGTGGAACCTCATCGGACTGAACTCAGCTTTTTGCCCGAGTGACAACTTTTTGCGGAGGCCCAGCCCTTTTTTCCTGAAGGGGGTGGTGTTTGGGGAGGCCTTGACCAGCGAAGAATCAAAGTTGGGTCAATCAGGTACCCCAGTATCCCAGCACGTGCCGGGAGCCCTCTCGTAATAGCAAGTACTTCAGGGTACCCACTGGGGTCCCCTCAGTGCCCTTTTGGGCGGTTTTAACTGAGAATCAGAGGCTTACGAGCGTGGGTAGCTGGGTACTTGAACATATCCCTGGCTAAGCTGCAATTCGTTAGGGGATCTGGTCCTGGAACCCGTGGTGGGACGATAAGAAGAAATCCACGGGTACGGCCTTCACTTGGATGTTCAAACTTGGTAGGTCAAGCTGGTAGATTGCAACCAGGGGCTGTAAACCAGGCGTCTCTGTGGCTTTTTTCCATGTTTGAACATCCAAGCTGAGGCTTACCGAAAGGCGTACCTGGGGAGGCAGCTGACATTTCCCCGCGATCTTCCAATTCTTGGCAGTCCCGAAAGCCGCAAAGAGCGAGGGCAACGCTCAGCTCTCAAACGTTTGCCTTGGCTAACCCTCCAAATCCAAACTTGAATGGCCCCTTGAAAAACCACTTTACGGGGGGTCCAAAAGAGTTTGAACGTGTTGATTTGTCAAGGGCTTGGCAAAGTTTGGCTTATCCCCTTTGTGTCTTTGGGTCTTTGGGTCTTTGGGCTTAAGCGGCTCTCGGGACGAAATGTCGGAGCTTTGGAGAAAAGCTCCCGGGTACCAACACGTACCAAACACCTTCTTGCGGTCGATCCAGATGGCCTTTTTACAGATATTTACACATTCTTGGAAAGAGGTTCTTAATCAAATGCTCGAGGGTTCTATTAAGGCCCCTGTTTGGGGGTTGAACAAATCGACAACCTTGTTTGGTGGGTGACGTCTTTAGGCTGGACATAAGACACCGTTTTCCACATTGCCATGTCTTTTTGTTTTTTTTACGGAAGCCAAGGTCAACAAAGTTCAACGGATGGGATTTCCAACGTGGACAAAGCCTGTATCTACCTTGGATGAAGATCACCTTACCTGAGGACTTCTTCATTGCATTGGCAACCAAACCTAGGTGGGCACATGCGTCGTATCCGGATCGCTGGAACGGAGACCCTTCGGGGATTCCTCGGCTTGAGCATGATTTGCCCCTGACTTTCCGTCCAACTGATTGTTTTTTTGGCTTCAAGGTCAAGAAGGTTTGGAGAAGCGCCGAAAACTGAATCATTTTGGAGGATTTCCGCTGCATCTAGAGCCCTTGGATGCTCGTCCTTTTACTTCTGGCCCCCTTCTGGGCTAATTGAACTGAAGTTGCTTTGAGCCCTTTTGGGGCCCTAATTCATCACGCGGTTTTGGTTTTGTTATAGCGAAAAGGCCGGCCTCCAAGGGGGGTCCCATTTGTGAGCTTGGACACGTTGCCATTTTCTCGAGAAGCAATCTTTAGCACATGTTGAGGAGTTTAATCGTGGCTCAGTATTGATTTTAAGCACGGACTAAGCAAGTACTGGCAAACAGCAATGCCTTGTTTCTGGCAGGTTTTTTGGCTTTGGGGCTGCAGGGGGGTAGCTTTAATCTGGAGGGGGCCGGGGGATTAGGAGGCCCAAAAAATGAAAAGATGGGCTGACTTTTTCTAGGAGTGTGGTTTGCCACACAGCAAGCGCCATTGCTTCAAGACTTGTGTCCACACCTCGCGTGGGCCTTGGTTATGCGTTTCCTGAGCTGAACTTGAACCCCTAAACCATTTGGTTGGTTGGATTCCAGGTTTGATAGGCGAGGGAACCAAACTGACTGAGTCTAACGACGTGGGTTTCCATAGAGCCCTTTTGGAAAGGTTCAATCCCCCCACCCCCTCGAGTTGTTCTCGCGGGATGGTTCACTGAAATCACCTTCGCTGGTTGCTCAGCTGCTAAGCTTGCTTTCCTGCTGAGAGGTGATCATTGAGCGATCTGTAAAAGTCGAGGGTTTGTATGAAGGTCCCAGAAAAGGTAAGCTGTGAGCCCCTTTTGGAGGCCTGACAGGGAGCCCAAGATCCTCTGGTGGGCTTCATACTAGACCCCAAGAAGATGGGTTTTTCCTTTGGGTTTTGGTTCAAACCCAGGTGAAAAGGCCACCCAAAACAGACACGCACACACGCACACCCATTGAGGCCCTACTTGTCTTTTGGCCTTGGTACTATGGCACCCTGTGTATTCAGTCCGGCGTGATCGTTGCGATGGACAGACCGCCGCGGCAGACGGACGGCTTGTTGCGACCGAAAGGAGTTGCACGCCCGAAAATGGACCAAGGAGAGAAAGTGACGCTGAAGCTGACCTTAAGCAGGTAACGAACCGAGAGCCCATTTGCTTGGCTGGTCTTTGGTCTGCCCGACTTGCCCCCTTAGACCGTTTGGAAACAAACGGCTTTCCATTCAACCTACAAAAGCTTAGAAGTTTTGCTCAGGGGCAAGAGCAAGCCAGTTCTTTGGGGGACACCGGTGTAAATATGCATTGGAGTAACCTATCAGAGGATAGAAACTGGGAGTTTCGATGCCTCCATGAGGGAGGAAGAGAGGGTCCCACTTTATTCTAAGGTTTGATCCAATTCGATTGTCTTCACCCATTGTTCTCTTCAACCACCCTCGCTTGGTGGCTATCCGGCTTCATGGGTTTATGGCAAGGACAAAAAACAAGACTTGGTTGGGTGCGTCTTTTTTGGGATGCTGTTGTTTTAGTCCCTTTCAGTTTATGTTTTTAAGGGGACCCCCAAAATGGGTAGGTTGTCCTGCTGGTTTAAAGCCATTAAAAAAGAGGTGCCCTCAAAGAACAGACACACCTTGTGTACCAGCTGGGTGTCGAAAGTCTTTTTTTTGTGAAAAGGGCGACCAGGTGTCTTTTGTGAGGATGCCCGTTTTGAGATTGCTTGAAGAGGGCATAGAGTGCTTGGTAGAGAATCCTCACAGGGGCCTTCCCGAGATTTGGGACCAAGGCCCCTGATTACAATATCCTTCTGGTGGGTTTCTATGGGAAAGGGATTTTCCTGCATGTTTGGCCGCAAAGCTTGTTGTTCAAAGCCTATGTCTAATTCTTGTAATCCTCGTTGTATTTTCCTTTCGGGCAGAGTTGCCCCAAACAGAGGGTCCCCTTTATAGGAACTTCGTCTTTTTCGGACCCCTCAGTCAGGTTCCATGTTATCCAAGACCCCTCCAACATACCTTTTGAGCATACCCCCGGACCCCAAAGAAAGGAATCATCACGGGAGGGTTTGGCTTAAATTTTTGGCATGTTGGAGGCTTCTTGGGGTTTTAGTTGGTGGAATGGTAAGGATTCGGAGATTCCTTCAAAGGTATGTTGGAGGCTTCTTGGGGTTTTAGTTGGTGGAATGGTAAGGATTCGGAGATTCCTTAAAGGGTATGTTGGAGGGTTCTTCGGGTTTTAGTGGGTGGAATGGATTTCTTGGGGTTTTAGTGGGTGGAATTGGATGGTTCTTGGGGTTTTAGTGGAATGGCAAGGATTCGGATCGATCCCTCCACCTTTCCCCCCCAAATTGTCGTCGCTTCGAGGTACTCTTAGCGGCTTCGGACTTGGAGGAGGCGGAGTTCATGAGTTCCGAGGGCCAAAGAGGGCGGGTTGGGTACTGTTGTTTGACCTTGTGGGGTTGTCTGAACCATTGGGGAACCCTCTGGTTTGGTTGGTCTTAAAGGGAAACCTAAAGGAACACACGTATTGTTACTACTTGTTTTCTTGCAGGTTTCAAAAACAACAACAACAACAACAACAACAACAACAACAACAACAACAACAACAACAACAACAACAACAACAACAACAACAACAACAACAACAACAACAACAACAACAACAACAACAACAACAACAACAACAACAACAACAACAACAACAACAACAACAACAACAACAACAACAACAACAACAACAACAACAACAACAACAACAACAACAACAACAACAACAACAACAACAACAACAACAACAACAACAACAACAACAACAACAACAACAACAACAACAACAACAACAACAACAACAACAACAACAACAACAACAACAACAACAACAACAACAACAACAACAACAACAACAACAACAACAACAACAACAACAACAACAACAACAACAACAACAACAACAACAACAACAACAACAACAACAACAACAACAACAACAACAACAACAACAACAACAACAACAACAACAACAACAACAACAACAACAACAACAACAACAACAACAAACAACAACAACAACAACAACAACAACAACAACAACAACAACAACAACAACAACAACAACAACAACAACAACAACAACAACAACAACAACAACAACAACAACAACAACAACAACAACAACAACAACAACAACAACAACAACAACAACAACAACAACAACAACAACAACAACAACAACAACAACAACAACAACAACAACAACAACAACAACAACAACAACAACAACAACAACAACAACAACAACAACAACAACAACAACAACAACAACAACAACAACAACAACAACAACAACAACAACAACAACAACAACAACAACAACAACAACAACAACAACAACAACAACAACAACAACAACAACAACAACAACAACAACAACAACAACAACAACAACAACAACAACAACAACAACAACATACACCGACATACCGAGATCAAAGATAGGTGTGTGTGTGACAAACACGCCTTGTCCTTTCGGGGCTGCCCCTCGGCTTGTTTTGCACGTTATTGTAACCCGACCGGACAAGAACGACGTCCCCTGACCATAAAAACTCAAAAGCGGTCCCAGTCGTGGGAACTGAGCACCAAATGCGTTGAGACGAGGCAGAGGTTCCGGACCGAAAGCGATGCTCATGCCTTCCAACTGCCCAGTGGCACGCTGGCTCTTTGGTTTGCTGTCTTCTCACCCTCCTCGATTTCCTCTTCCTGTCCGAACCTGGTCCGCGCGCCACTGCCTGCTGCCTGCTTGTCCTACGCGTGTTACGTGGGCGGCAGCGACCTGTAATGCACTTAACTACTTGTAGCCCCTAAAACTTTGTAAACCGATGCTGAAGAAATACGATACAAGGTATAAGGGTACAAAGGTTTCATTCGGGGCTTTTATTTGAGCCCATATGGATCTGACTCGAGCTTGGGTAGCCCAGAAGTGGGTGTCCTTTGATTTGGGATTGTATTTCCTTTTGGAGTGGTTGAAAGGGAAACCCAAAGGAATACTAAAATCCATTTTGGGGTCCAAAGCCCTTTTCCAACACAGATCTTGACAGGACCACCCTGGTTTGACCCACAAAGGTAGTATGAAATGTGGTGATGCGGTTTCCAGGGACGTGAAGTTTCTACCGTCGGTCGTCGCGACTTTCCTTTTTCAGATGTGACTAGCCAGCTATTTGGCACTTTGCCCCTTTAGCCCCTGCAACTTTTTGCCGAATTGAGCACCCCCCGGGCCCCAACCCACGAATTGTGTGGGTTTCTGCCCAGAAGTGGGTGTCCTTTGATTTGGGATTGTATTTCCTTTTGGAGTGGTTGAAAGGGAAACCCAAAGGAAAATCCATTTTTGGGTCCAAAGCCCTTTTCTAACACAGATCTTGACAGGACCACCCTGGTTTGACCCACAAAGGTAGTATGAAATGTGGTGATGCGGTTTCCAGGGACGTGAAGTTTCTACCGTCGGTCGTCGCGACTTTCCTTTTTCAGATGTGACTAGCCAGCTATTTGGCACTTTGCCCCTTTAGCCCCTGCAACTTTTTGCCGAATTGAGCACCCCCCGGGCCCCAACCCACGAATTGTGTGGGTTTCTGCCGTTTTCGCTGTTATGTGCCTAGTTGGGGGGCTGCAAGTCAAAATAGACATGTTTTTTTCTATCGTGGATATCTTTTTGGAGTGGGTATCTTTTGGGGGATTGCTCAAAAGGGAACCAAACCCATGTCTGCTTCCACTTCCTATTTCAGGTCAACACCCAGACATTAGGGATGATACTTTTTTCTTAGTCCCATTTGTGAGCAAAAAGCGCATGTGTTTCCATGATGAAGGCCCTTTACTTGGAGATGCCTTGTTCCAATTTGCGAATTATGGTATACAATTCAGCAAACAACATGGTTGTAAGTAGTGGACACCAGGGTGTGGTCGGAAAACACATCAAACTTGCCACCCATGTAACATTGTCGCAGACCGCCAAACAAAAACATTTGCGCGAGGTTGCCCGAAATCCATGTTTGGCTTATCTCGCCACACGCGGATGGGCTTGTCTTAAAGTTAGGTAACCCAGAACAAATAGTCTGTTTTTCCTTGTGGCGTCCCCTTCACTTCCATCTTCATCAAGACTATGTTTTTCCTGTGTTGGTTTTGATGGGAATCTATCACTGCTTGAAATATGTACAACAGAATCCGCGGAATCTCCCACTACTTACTTTTCGCAGGAGACTTAACTTGCTGGTGCTCAGTAGGGAATGAGGGAATGGACCTTGGGGGTCCCCTTAAAGGAAACCACCAGTCTCTCGCACCAACCACGAGTTGGCCGTTTTTTTTTCGCGGTCATTCCCTCATTTCCTGCATCTCTCGCACCAGCAAGTGAAGTCCTCTGAAAAAAAACAAATAGTGATAGATTCCCCGGGATTATGCTTTACATATTTTCCAGCCGTGATTGATTCCCTTTAACACCAACGGGGGACTTAAGCAAATGGAGCCTTAACGCCCAGGAGCCCTGCATTGATCCAGATCTCGCCCAAATCCCCAAATCCGCCAGGCGGTATTCAGCGCCATCCATGCGCTGGAGGCATCAAGTCTTTCTGGATGTCCCAACCAGGCCCCCCAGCTAGGTGCCCGACCTCTCACCGTTTCTTTTTTGCTTGGGAGGGGTCCCTACTAAGGCTACAGAAAAAGGTTGGTACCCTTATTCTAACCTCTCTGGAGGACCTAGCCAATGTGCTGGGACATCTCCAAAAAAGTTTCCCCCATTCCTTCTGCCTATATCGAGCTCACCGATTCGGGGATGGGCTCGTCTGGAGATCTCTCAGTCCAGCTTGGGGCTTTTTTTCGGTGACATGTTGCAGATTCCTTCCATGTGACATGAATATGTGTAATACGTTTTCTGTTTTAGAGGGAATCCATCACTGGACATAGGTTTTGTATTTTTTCCAGTGGGCGAACATGCACATGGAAGAGTCTTGTTGCCCACTCGCTTTAGAGCCATTCGCCAAGGTTATGGGTCCAAATTAAGCCAGGATATGAACCGGACGTTTTTTAGTGGTTGGTCCCATGTACCAGGGCAACCCATTTTGGGTACCGATCTTTTGAGCCACCGCCAATTGTTAGAAGAAAAGGATCCCGAGGAAAGTGCAGCTAGAAGGATCCCATTGGTTGGGCGCGCTATTTGAATGTTCAGCTCTGCTCGAGCAAAAACATGCGAGCCCTCCCATTAGCCACAGGTAGATGGTGCCTTCCTGGTTTTAATGTGGGCATCATCCCTGACTGCTATTGGGTTGGATCTTTAGACTTCGACTTTTTGGTTGACATCAAGTTGGGTTTTCCACTAAACTTTAAATAAGTGGTCAACTTTTTGCAAGGGGGGTCAACAACAACCAAGCACCGTAGGGCCTATGTGAACCTTTACCATGTTTGTAGAAACAGTCGCTGAGTTTTGGGCGCACGACGGTCGAATGGGTTTTGGTGTACTACGGCTTGGATCTTGGAAGGGCAGCCCAAAGGTTGCTTGACTTCCATTTGCTGAAATGAATATGTTTTTTATTTCCCCTCTTGGTTTTAAAGAGAAGCGATTTGACTACTGGAAATGTGTTTATTTTTTCCAGGGACGAAAACGCAAATGGAGGTTGAAGAATGGGTTTTCTGTTTCTCACTCCCCGAGTTTTTGGACTTGAGCCACGTTTTGGGCTCGGACCGTTGCCAGCAACAAGCGCGGACTATTTTTTTGGCCATCTCTTCCAGAAGTGAGTTGTTGGGTGGAGAAAACCATCAGCAGCCGGTTGGTTGGTTGGTTTGTTTTGTTTTTTTTGGTTTGTTTTGGCTTGCTCGTGGATGGGAAACCCCCCTCAAACATTACCAGCTGAAACAGGCAAATCGACCAACCAACCCAAGTTAACTAGCCAACCAACCATGTTTCTGTAGCTATAGGTATGGCCGGTTGCGGGGAGGCGTCCTCCAATTCTGCAGACCTCTTGCGGTGCAGAGAAGGTGCTTTCCAATGTTTGCATGGTTGTTCTTTTTGCGGGGAGGGGTGCATGAGGTAAAAAGACAGATTGAGGCGCCTTTGCTTTCCCTTCAAGCCCCGGAGAAAAGGCTGGCCTCGAGAACATATGGGGCCTTGTCATGTTGAATCATTTTGGGTGCCCCTGTGGAAGATTCGACTGGGGATTGTCAGGGACCCTACAACTGCCCCTCCGCTAAAAACACCCCCCAAACGGATTAAGCTTCAGGGTTTACAGAGCCTTAGGGGCAAATGGTGTCGACTAAAGCGTCAAAACGGTTGGAACCCTCTGGAGCCTGTCAAATGACACAAGTTTACATGTTCGGGTTCTACTGCAACATGCTTGTGGCATGTGAAGTTTGCTCATTGCGATCAGTGCTAAATTTCACGGGTTCGGGTAAGACATTGCAGCCGCCCACAACGTCATCATGTCATGTTGAGTTAAATGCTGACATATGTTGGAGGTCTTTGCACACCTGGCAGTAGATCGAAGTAGGCCTAAGGTCTGTTGGAAGCTAGCGGTTGTTCAAACACACCTTCAACCTTCAGACGTTCAAGAACCTTCAAACTGAGGTCTGTGTGCTTATCCTTTTTGGTGTGTCACAGAGCCCACAGTTTGTTGGTGCTCAGGGAATGACCCAGGAAGTTGGGAATGAAGCCAGGCCCCTTAAAGGAACCACCAGGGATGTTTTTGTTTTTATTTTTTCCCCGGGGTCATTCCATTTCTCATTCCCTGCATTTCTAGCACCAGCAATAGAGGGAAACCACAAGTTTTCACAATGTTTCAGATTAAACAACTGACTGACCACACGAAACATTGCTGGCCTTCTGGAAAGGCCAGTGTGTGGTCGAAGGGGAGGTATGTAGAGGTCTACTTGAGGTGGGGGTCCCCATTTTGAGTCGCTCAGCCATGCAGCTGTTCCATGCAGAGGCTGGCCGGGAGGTGTCCGCCTGGGAGTCGGTGGATATCCTGAGCCACATCCAGGCGTGGTTGGACCTGGTTAAGTTTTTTTGTTGGCTTGTAGAAAGGGCTTTGTTTGGTCACTGCTCATTTGTAAGGTCAACGCCGGATTAATCCGAAGGACCCTTGTCAAAGTTCCCTAAAATCGTTTAACCAGATTCAGGGCGGTCCAGAGGGCAACAAACCAACGTCCCATGCGGAGGCGTGTCTCTCTTCCTTTTTTTTGTGTGGGCGTGGGGGAGGGGGAGGGGGGGGGCACCCTTTGGTTGCGGAATTTAGAGACGCCCACCATTTTGGGGCCTTTCAAGGGAAAAACCACACGGGGGAGCGGCCCATGTTGTGAGACGCCCGGCGGCTTCCAATGGTCTGCGTTCCTGGAAGTCGGGTTTCGCGCTTGACACCCGGCCTGGCTTCACCGGTTTGGGGACCCCGGTTTTGCTTTGCTTCTGCAAGATTTTTAACACCCGCAACATCATTTACTATGCCTGTCGGGTCCAATTGAGGCTCCCAAACTGGGGGGGAATGAATTGCGGACCCGCAAAGGTTGGAATCTGCGAGCGAAGGCCCCATCAGAAACCCCCCTTTTCATTGGGTCCAATTTGTTGATGAAATGGCAGGCAAGTCAACCTTTGTGCCGTGGTAAAAAAAATAAAATGGTCATGGATCCCTCAACCGATCTTAACAGGGACCTGCCGCTTGCCCAGCGGCTTTTCCAGATCGAAGGGCACCAGGCGTCGAAAAGAAGACGTCGGAGCCAGGGAATGGTCAGTGGCAAACGCCTGTCTTTGTCTTGTTGCGACCTCAAAGCCAGTGGCCCAACTTCAGTCTTCACGAGTCGGGGCTCAGCACATGGATATGCAGTTAAATAGGGAACGCCCTGAACAGGAGTTGGTGGATGTATATGGATGACTGAGCCATCCAAAAATCGATCCATATGGCCCTATGCTAAGAAAGACCCATACAAGAACCCCTGCCTTGGTTTGATCGTCATTTTCCCTGTACTCAATAAACCTAGCCAAGGGAAATCGTCCCAAAAACCAGCCCGGCCACGGCTCCTTTCGGCACCCCTGTTAAACTGCGAGTCCGTGAGGACAACTTTCCGCAGATCTTCGCGGAGATGCTGGAGGAGCGGCGAGCGGCGAGCGGCTGAAAGAGACCGAACTGAAAGCGGTTTGGAGGGAAATAGATGGGTTCCACTGGTGTAGATTAGATTTATATGGAAATAGATGGGTTCCACTGGTTTAGATCAGTTGTATATGGGAATAGATGGGTTCCACTGGTATGGTTCGTTTTTATGGAAATAGATGAGTTCCACTCGTTTAGACGAGTTTTATGCCCCTTTTACCAGGGAAACCCATCCCATTTTTGCCAGAAGGACACCTATGGTTGGAAGCACATGGGCAGTCAAAGTATGGAGGGACCCTAGAGGCACACAAAACCGGCCAGGTCGGTCCCCATGCCCCCCTTCCCCGGGTTATGTTTGTTGAACTCCGGTTTGCCCCGCGCCTCAAGATTCAAGATGGTCATCCAGACCTTGAGAGAAGACATTTGGTCTGGACACATTCAGCGAACCCTATTACAATTTTGGGGGCTCCCATATGGATGATTCTCCATACCTCAGAGATTGGTACAAGGGATGTTTCTGCTTTCCTCTTCCAGCTCTTATGATGATTGGGCACGGGTTGTTGCTACTTCAGCCCAAGTTCTTCGGGGGTGAGCCCTTGTCCCTCAGTTTGCCAAGAGAAATATGTCCCCTTTAATAAAGGATCAACTACAGTTGTTGAATCAACCAGTCAAACGCATCCAAGTTGGATGTCCCAACAAGACCAGGACATGGCCTCCCAATGTGGCATTCGCGCCCCGTCTTATGGACAAATCTCCCCCCCCCTCCCCGTTTCAATCGCCAGGATGACATGCAGCTGCTGCTGGCCGGGTCCGCCTTGTTCCAGGCCGTAGAGGGGCTGGCTCACAGGAAAACCAAAAGGAACACCACACATTTTAAGTGCTTTGTTCGTTGTTGTTTTTTTTTGGAGGGGTTCCCCTAAGAAAAAGACATGCACAAATTAAATAAGGGGGAGCCCAAGTCTGGCCCCGTTGACGGAGAATGCCTCCCTCGAGGAGTTCCCGGACTTGTTCTGGGGGAAGACCCATTGTGGACAACAAGTCTTGAGTTGTTTTTGCCCAATCCACTCAGGAAGTGAGACTTCGGACCGATTTCATACCAGCCGGGATGCCAATACATGGTTCCCTTTTTGAGGATTTTTGCACATCACATGTTGGCAAGGCCACTTGGAGAAGAGTTTCCTTTTCCGACGTTGGGTCGGAAAAAAAACTGTGATCCCTCAGGTCATCGAGGACGGCACGCAGCGTGTCCTGCCCAGGCGCGATTTTTTTTGTTTTTTCGACCCGGGACTTGTGGATCCAGAAAGGGATCGATCGTTCCTTCAGATTCGCCTGTTTGGGGCTGGGCTCAAGAAGCGAAATGGAGAGCCTTGTCTTTTTTTTCAGCCGGGCTGGTTCCCTGAGAGTCATGTCTCAAGTCGCTGAGCTGGCCAAGTGTGGATTCGATCTGCAGTTCGTGTGTTGCTCTTACTCACTTGCCCAAGGCGAAGGCCGACCTTTTAGTTCCCCTTGTTGTCTTTGTTAGTCATGGGGCCAAAAGGGTTAACCTGATATTTCTGGGTCCTTTGGGCGACCAAGCTTAAACTTGGTGTGCCAAAATCTGCGGGCCTTGGTCGTCGACGAAGGCCTTTGGCCATCCGTGGTCTTTGGCGGCTCTCGGAGACGACGCGCAGTGGGCATGGCGGTTCCCGCGGCCCGGTCGGACCGGGAAGCCCTTTAGTCTTTCTCGCACGGCGAGGCTGCGGTCGAGCTGCTTCGACAAATTCCTGTTTACTTCCACTAGGCCTAGCATCCGAATGCTTGGAAGGGCATCCGACAGCTCTTTCAGATTGCTCGGGTTCTCCCGCGATCTTCGGTGCAGTGCCGGCCCCCCCAAGGCCCCCCCGAGGGGGCCCGATGTGGTCCCCTTCGCTGGCCTCCTCTTGGGCTGGGTAGTGCTCGCTGTCCGGGGATTGAGCACGAGATGGTCCACGTCATCTTTTCCATGGTTTCTCTGGGCTCAACTTGAAGAAAAATGCCGGCTGGGGGCAAGAGGTGAAAGCTCTCAAACTTGGTGGTTCGTCCCATCTTGGTTGCCCTGTCAAGCGGGGGTTACCCTCAAAGAAGAGACAGACATCCCCCCATTTTTATGAGCCCCTTGGCACCTTGCACGTACCCCAAGTGTCCAGGCTCGCCCATCTGGACTGCTGGAGATACCGTTTTGGGCCTGGATCAGTTTGATTAAAAGTTACCTCGCCTAAGTTTCTGGACCAATCGTTTGGAGTTTCCATTTCGTCAAGAGACGGCACCTTTATTTGACCAATCCACGGAAGTGAAGAGAAGTACCTTCAGTCTTTAGCCTCAAGTTTATGGACCTACCGTGGGGTTGTCCCATAGGTGTCCTTTTTGGTTGTTTTGGAAAGAAAACTAGATTGCCCTTGACCTGGTGTCATAATCTACCAGTCAGGGTAATCCATCTATTTTCACAAAAGAACACCTGTCCCAGTGCTTCCGGTTACCACTATTCTAGGTAACCAGGGGAAACCATCATGTACGTGGGAAACTATGAAGAGGGAGTGTCCCCGCTGGGGAATTCATAAACTGGTTGATGAATACTGTGGATGGACAAAATCCTGCACCACCTAAAGACACCCAAAGATGATTCTTCCCTTGTAAATACCAGCAAACTGGTTTGTCATGGTTTCTTCGGTGGTGCGATTTCTGGATTTTGTCCGTCCACAGTATGGGGTCAACCTTACCTCTAGGGGTTGATTGCCCATTCTTTTCAGCCATCGCTCTTTTCAACAACCAGCTATTTCCCCAGGGTTTTTGGCTTTGTTGTTTCTTCTTCTTTTTTTTTGAAAGAAGGATCCCTGGAAAGAATAGACATGGAAGTTACCCCTAGATTACCCAGTGCTTCCCTTGTTGTCACTCGGTCGCTTCAAGACATTTGGATTCGCCAGGTGCCGGGCCTCGCCTCTGGAGGCGAAGTCGTGGGTGAGTTGACCCCAAGGTAAGGTGGCTTAGGACTTGTTGGGGGTGAACAAGGCCGAAGGAAGGCAAAAGAAGGTCAAAAGAAGCCCGGCTTGTTGTTTTCCTTGGTGGTGTGATAGGTAGGGAATGACCCAGGGTCTTGGGAATGAACCGGTTTTGGGGATTCCCTTAAAGGACGCCACTTGAAGGATGGTGTATGGGGCTCATTCCCTGATTCCCTGCTGAGAACCAGCAAGACAAGGCTGTATAAGGCCAAACAAGGTTGGACTCCAAAATTGGTGAGAGGGGCTTAAAAGCCTGATTCGGTGGAAAGGAGTCACACGGCCAAGGCCTTATGTGTCCCTATCCAGGTTTATGGCAGGAAACATCGAAACTGGAAGGACGGCACTTAATGGACGCCCATAGAGAGAGAGAGAGAGAGTTTCCAAATGCGATTCTTTGTACACGGTTGTCAGTTTGGAAGGGCATGGGAGGCCTAGCACACGAATTTCCCAAGGGAACCGGCGTCTAATTTGTCGAAGCGCGGGGCTTTTTTCACCATTTCAGTTTCGCCAGAAGGCGACCTTTTGAGATTCCAAGATCGATTTGCTAGCGGTGTCCAAGTTCTTCGGGCAGAGTTGTTTTAGCTTGATGATGAAACCTTATTCAAGAAGTGTTTGTATAGCAGTGAATGAGCCCGGGCTAAATCATCGGTTTTGAAAGCTTGTAACTCGCTCATGGGCCTCGCCAAGGGATTTGGTTTGCGACCTGTAGGCAGGTTGATGGATTTCCCTCCCAAGTAGCAGAGCAACTGGCTTGCAACTGGCAGGAGTCGGTGCAGCGCTTGTTCCACATCCACAGGTCTAGGCGGGTTTTTGCGAACACTTTGAGGGCGTGTCCTTTGCTTTCTTTGTTTTCGGCCGGAACCCGCATGTAGAATCCACAAGCTAAAGTTGCTTTAACCTTATTTCTCTGTTGGAGGGGGGCGTCTTCCGAGCCCCTGACTCCTCTTCCAACCAACAGACTGGAGGTCTGCGGGGCGTCGGAGCTGAAGGCTCACGACGGGGGTCTTGAGAAAGAGGCTGTTGCCTATGATTTTCAATAGGAACCTCTTGAAAATGCTGCACATGAATCCCCGCCTAAATGTCCAGCAAAGGGTTCATAAGTAAGATACCTATACTCCAAAAGGCGAAAATTTCAGCCTGAGACTCAGAAAGGCGCGTGTTGCCGTCCAGCGGCGGAACTCGAAGGGGAGGGGGTTGTGGCGGCGTTTTTCAATTTGCGACGGCGTTTTTGCGTTTGGTGCGCATTTGGCCTACGTGGGCTGCTTCGCAAGATCTGCGCACCGCAACTTTGCCAGCTTTTGTGCTGGGTTTGTGGGTTGGTGAAAATCGGTTCGATTTGGTCGAATGCACATCTGCTTTGCTGCAAAAATTGTCGACTTGCACCGGCGGAACCTACGTTCGACGGCGGAAACGCGCGTCCCAACGGCGGACACGCGCGTCCCAACGGCGGAAACGCGCGTCCCACCGGCGGAACTCGAGCCCAAACGCTTTCTTGATGAAGTTATTCACGTAATCAGGAAAGGATCCGGATGTGACAAATTAAACAAAGCCGCCTTGCAAGGGAGCAAAAGTTTGTTTTGTGTTGTGTTCAGCTCTTCATGATGCTGTCTTTTGAGACTGCTTTGCTCCAGGCTATGAGCTGATTTGGATCAGTTAGGGGCCAACGGCATTCCTTGCAACTGATGGTGTTTCTTGAATTCAACGGTGTTTCTCGGCTGTGCAGAAATTCCCGTTCAAGATTACAACGGCGATTTTTTTGGCCCGACGGAGTTCCTAGGTATAAGAAAATTCATGGATGTCGGGAGTTGGCAAAGTAGTTTGAATCTTTTGGTTGCGTTTCTTCACTGCAACGCCACCAAGAGTTGAGATGTCTAGGCAGTCGAATCCGCAAGTCAGAACACGACATACAGAGACGCTGCTTTGGGGAGTCTTAGTAGTGACTTGAGTATTGATGGAAGGTTCGGACAAAATGGTGGACCGGTTGGTTGGCAACAAAGGGAATCTTGAAACGAGCCAGCCAAGAATGATCTTTGAGATACAGGTGAACTCCCGAAGGAAACTAGGGGGATTCCCATCGCCTTTGTCAGTCAGGTATGCCAGGTATGCAGAAGGCTGGTTGAAGGGAAATCACAAGGAAACCTTTGCCACTTGAGGGCGGGAGTTTATCAAAAAGACGCACCCATATTTTAACAAATTCCTTTGACATCGCCCAAGAAAGCTCACTTTCTTTGTTGGTCTATGTTTTTCCATAAAAATGCTGTGTCATTCCCGTGGCCACTTCAGGTTTTTCAGGGGTCCAAATAGAATTGTTGGTGGGGCAACACTGGCCATTTGAGAATCAGGTGGATTTGTTTTTGGTTGTTCCGTCATGTCCACTGTTTCGGTCCCATCAGTCCAGGTGGATGCCCTGCGAATTTGGGTGAGAGTCCCAGTGGTCTTCACCAAATTTGCCAACAGAGGGGTTTGTCTCGGCCCTAGTCGTGGGTTTCCTGGTTCCCTTTCAGCAAACCTCAAAAACAGCGGGTCGCCTCCACAAAAAGACACCCCCAGCGCCAGGCCCCGCCTCCCACTCGCCACGTCGGGTGCGGAAGCCGCCAGGTACCCAGGCGAGGCCACTGAAAGCTGGGGCTTTGTCCTGGGCGAGCTGGCGAAGGCGGGCTTGGGCTCAAATTGAGGGAATCAATAAGAAGTCCTGGATCTCCCAGGGGGCGTTTTCTTTCTTTTCTTTTTGCCATGCACTTTTTACCCCAAAAGCCAGCAAGGGTGACTGAAAAAAGCAGCAACTTTTGACTATCTAGGGTGTCTCTTTTGGGGGGAAGCCCCAAACTTGTGGTTTTCCTTCCGGCTTCCATTTACAATCATTTAGAACCATCAAAACAGGGGTACCCTAGAAGAAGACACACCCGTATGTTTCTTTTGGTGTCCCGAAACCAACCAAAAGGACACACCCAGTTTTCTCGGAAAGGCGAATATCCTCCCTGGTCAGGCGTTATGATAGCAGGAAGCTGTCCAAGACGAATAATAGAAGAGAGAACCTATGATTTTGGGCAGAAGGTCGGAAAGCAAGGCTTTTCGACAGAAACCCAATTTCGCAAGCATGCACCGTGCCGATACTCAAAGAAGGGCGTCCTCTTACGGGACTTCATAAGACAAAAAGTCCACATCAGTCAGGCCGATGCGGCGGGCGGCTCATAGCATGCCATCCATGTCAGTTCTTTGCTTGCGGTAAGTGGGAAAGGAAGTGGAAAGACCCCAAACTCACCAGCTCAAATGGTGCAAATACAAAGTGCTAATGATGTTAGAGGTGAATTTGCCAGACTTCGCTCGCCAGTTTTCAGCTTTTTTGGCAGTGTCCCAAGAAGTAGCTCCAACATGCACAGCGGATTGAACCTATCCGACGCATAGAACACACCGAGAGCCAGCGTTCGGCGTCCCTTCGGTTTCACTTGTTTTGGTGGAGAACAACAGCTCAAGCCTGTTTGGCTGTGAGCTGTTTATGACAAGAAGGACTTAAGTTCAGAACGTAGCAGCAAAATCCATGTCCGGATCCCCTTGATTTCCTGTGACGCTTTTCAAAGCCTTTTTCAACCAAATCTTGCTGGCCCGGGTTTAGGGAATGAACCGGTTTTGGGGATTCCAACTTAAAGGAAGCCATATGGATGGATGGCTTTTCTGGGCGTCAGACTCCATTTCTCCTGCCAGGTACTTGGGTACAGAGACCCGGAGCTCGACAGGCGCTTTACTAGTTGGATTCGAGGGAAGGAGTTCCCCTGTTCTCGGGTGAACGTTTGGTGCAAGCTCTTAACGGGGGATCCACAAACCTGTTGAGTCCCCGGATCCGGGTCTCCTTGTAGCTTCTTACATCTTTGCCCTTGATTGGCATGATGAACAGGGAGAACATACTTGAGTTGATGGCCAAGATGTTTAGCTGGTAGTCTTCAGTTCGTGAACCAGAATGAGATTGCCAGCCTGAATGATATTGCCAATACTGCTGGTCAAAGGAAGATTCGAAGACACTCCCGTGGTAAGGAAGCAAATTGAAAGACAGCCTGCACAGATAGATAGCTTACATAAAGTCAGGTAGATAGCCCAACAAATAGGTAGCTGGACAGACATGTAGCTTGACAGATGGATAGCTTGACAGATAGATAGCTCGACAGATAGCTGGTCGCTTGACAGATAGATAGCTGGACAGACAGCTGACAGATGGATATCGGATAGCTGAACGTACAGGTAGATTCAGCCTGACAAGTGAGGCAAACAAGCAGCAGGTGCCTATGACCGAATCAATGAGTCCGGGTGGGGTCGCCAAAGCGAAAGCGCCCCAAGAGTGTTTTTTATTTTAGAAACTTCCGACCACCGGCTCTGCCGGCTTTACCTCGAGATTACCAATTCCGATTTGGTGTCCCCTTGGGAGGGGTGCAAACAATCCTTACACAGAGCCATCCGTGCATGGACTCCTGTTTGTTAATTCGAAAAGGACCGGTTAGCTGCCACAGCTCGCAATTCGATCGGGTTCTTGTGGCTTCGCGTAAGCTAGAGTTCTGCTCGGACCAGTTCCTTTGCATGGTTTTAACCTCGTTTCGACTCAGCAACTGGCTTATTTGTCTTCAGTTCCGTGGTCAAGTCGGTCGAGAAGTAATGAATTCAACCATTCCCACACCATCCATGTCTTACCAGATTTTGACCGACAAATGTCGTGGGTCAGTCTGGCGCTCGGAGGATCTCGGAGTCTTTGGGATATGGCTTAGGTTCTTGTCAACAGCAAGGCTTCCGCCGTGAATAGCAACCCTGCAAACCTCCACGTTCGGCTCAAACACTTAACACCAACATGCGCAAACGCAAAAGTCAAGACACTGTGAATAGTTCCACAGCGACATGCATGCTTTGTAGCATTGAGGCGTATTGGCCACAATCAGTTGTTCTCTAGGCTAGCTTAGAAGTAATTTGTAGCAAGGCGCAAAGGATGGCGCAGCGAGCTGATGACGGCGCTGCGCTTCCCATTCGGAACTCTTGCAACAGCGTTGCAGGACAGTACAACCATTACTGTTGGGACACATTGCTGATTCCCCTCGATTCTCGGGTTATCAGCCGCATCGCTAAGAAGGCCAACAAAAACCCAATGCCAACATGGCAATGAGCGCTTGCTCGTGGGGCGAACATAAAGTCCTCAGCATGCGGCGGCGCATGCCCTAGCCTCTATTTACGGCTTGAAGCTTGCCGCCGCTGAGCAAACAAAATCTGCGTCGCCTCCCTTGAAGCGGGGGGCTTGAAGAAAAGCTGGCTGCCCTTAAGGGGTGCTGTCCTACTGTGCTCGCAGGAGTGGGGTGGGCGCAAGCGATTCTCAAACACAGAAGCAACAGCCAAACCAAGAGTACACATTTTGAGGACAAGATCTGAGCCATGTTGAAATTTGTCTATAGCAGCCAAGAGCGTAACTTTCAGGGGTCGAAGTGAGGACCCACATGGCCCGCCTCTCGCGAGTGTCGCTTGCTGCCCGCCAGGGCGCTGCTGCAGCCGTCGCCGCTGCTCCGCTTTGCCTTCTCAGAGGCGCGTCGGGGCGGCGTTGGCCAAGTCGAAGTCGGAGCCTGGCACGTCCTTCCTGGAAAAGAGGAAGACCCCTCCAACCCAGAAAAGAGGAGGGACCCATTAGTGCGAAAGCTTCAGATACCAATGAAGCAATATCTACCCGCTTTACTTGGGGATCCCTTAGTCCAGCTTTTGGAAGTATAGTGCAAGTTGCAGAATACTCTGAACGCTTATGCCACGGTCCTCGCAATGGTTTTAGATACCCTGGACGATACTGAGTCATCTTTTGACATGAGGGGTATCCTCCCACCAATTAAGATGGAACCGTTCGACGTTCGGGGAATGGGTCCTGGCTTTTCCTTTTCCAGGGGCCGGATCTCGAACGTCAGGTTTCATGTCAATTGGTGGGAGGGTAAGACCAGGCTCGCCCTTTCCTGTTTTGGGGGAGGGTTCAACTAGTACAATAGACTACAGAAAAAGGGGTACCCTTCTTCAAACCTCTCTACTGGAGGACCTAGAAAACGGATGGCAATCCCCGATGAAGAGAAATCCACTCCGTGTGGACGTCGCCAGGCAGAGTCCGATGAGGTGGTCACGCTGCGGCAGAAGCTGCCGAAGCGGGACGCAGGAAAAGAGGCTCGAACACCTGAACCCAAATCCTTGTGGTTTCTTGGTGTTAAAAGGATACCCGCAAGACGGATACCCGGTTTACTGGTGCTTGTCTTTCTCAGAACCATGCAAAAAACGGCTGCCGCAAGATAAAAAGAGACCAGATTGAGTCAGAGCAGCCATTGGAAGGCTGTGGCCAATGGCCCAAAATGGTTTACCCTCCTACACCTGTTTGCCCCCCGCAAGACCGCCTTCCGCCAACGAAGAGTCCCATCTTCTGGTGGGTTCCATGTTGAGAACCTGAGAATGACCAAGACCGGAGTCTTGATAGGTCTTCTTTCCTTCCTCCTGATATTGTTTATGTTTTGTTTGTGTTTGCCAGCTATGTTCCCTGTGAACAAATGGAATGTTTTCTCACTATCATGCTCAGACCCACCCCAAAATGGCTGGTTTGCATGTTGCAAGCAAACCGTGCTGCCTTGCGACTAGCCTCGCGGTCTCTTGCCTAGGACTTGAAAAAGGGATCCAATCGGTCCAGTCGTGTTTGATCCGTTTTGAGAGACGACTCGAATTTCTGGTGCTTTGCAGCAAGGGCATTCTGTATTGTTGGAAGTGAAGGAGTGCAGCTGAGAATGGAAAGTTGGAATGGCGAACTCATGCTGAAGACGCTGTTTTCCGTGGCTTGGCAGTTTCGACTCGAGCACGGGCCATGGGGAAACTACCTTTTTCTGGCACCTACTTGTTCAATGGCGCCCCCTTTACCGTGTCAGTTGGTAGACTCTCCGAAGACGGTCACCCCCCAAAGTGGTTCTCTTCCGCCAGCCGGGTCGCTTTCATATGGCATCGGATTCCAGGATCTGAAGCCCAAGCCGAATGGCGATCGCGACAAACGGCATGGTGAGAACGGCGAGAATGGCGAGAGGCGGGGGGCGACAGCGCCGCCAAGCCCCCCCCCCCCCACACAGTCTTGCAGAAAGGTCTACTGATAAAATCTGGCCAATGTTGGAAGGTTGCCATTGCTATGAGAAAGACCAGGTCCCCCGGTAGTGCCCTTTTACCCTTTTTGGGGAGAGGGTTCCCCTACTAAAATAGACGACAGAAAAAGGGTACCCTTATTCTAACCTCTCTGCTGGAGGACCAAGAAGAAATGAAACCGATTCCGAAAATCTGATCTTGATGCACCGCAGAGTTGGGTCAAGAGATGGCTCTTAGGACCTCAGGGGTTTTCCAGATTTGTCGTGTGAAACTGGGTTTGGCCTCAGTTGCCCCTTGGGCGAACCAACCGCTTTTTCTCCTTTGGGGCTTTCCATGTAACGCCATGTTTAGGCAAAGGCAAGATTCCAATTTGTTCAAATGTGTTTTTCCTTTTGGGTCGGCCATGTTTCGTCAAGATTCCAAGAAGTTCACTTCAATTCTGTATTTGCGCAGAGAGGCAACTTAAGGGACCCGCAAGAGAGGGGGTTCGCATTTTGGGGATACCTGTCATTTTCCGATTTTTTTTCATGGGTGCCTTGTGTGGGTCTGCCGAAAGCCCTGCTGGCTTGTGGGATTGGGATCGAGTTCATGTGCATGTTCTGTTTTGAGTCCAGAGGAAAGAAAACCACCGCGTTTGTCCAAATATATGTTTTATCTGCATTCAGGCCCCCAACATGTCCGTTGGGAGAACGCTATCGAAGTGACCATTTTGAGAGGTCTCAAAGTACTTTTGGGGGGGTGTCCCTTTTAAGCACCATCTGGACTGTAATTGTTTGAGGATGTCGCTTTACTGGACTCAGAATCAACCGAAAGGAGGTTCCAACCGAAAAGACACCCAGAGCCAGCTTGGCTCGTTGATCGTTCGTTTTCCACGCGAGGCAGACCAGAAGGCGGAGGCTGGGGCAGACTCGCGCTTAACCGCGTTGTGGGACCTGGTGTTTTCGGATGTTTTCGGGCAACTTTGCGTGATGCCCATTCAGTTGGCGTGTTCAAGACAAGTTTCAAGCGGCTTACTGTTGGGGGTATTTGGGGGTGGACTTCACCTTGTGGTAAGGCCATGTTGAAGCTTCTCATGGAGAAGTTGAGTGCCAAGTGGAAATCGGTGTCCGGAGTTTGTTTTGAACGCCCTTTGTTTGCGGGTGTCACTTTCTTACTCGGCTTCAGGGCTAAAGTCACTTTCCGGGGAACTTGGTTGTCAATCCAGGATGGGAGTTTCCTTTGGCAAAATGGTGGACCCCTTTTGGTAAAGGAAATTTCAAAGGGACGTCGACCATGTTTAAGGCACCATGATTTTGAGGAGCCCGGGCGAGCTGAACATGTGGGGGTTCATGAATATTCCCTTGAACCCCCAAATAACCAGAAGCAACTTTTCCCATGTGCTTGACATGTCATATTGCTTTTCGTGGTTTTCCACCCCATGGCCATCCCACGTACGGAGCTTTTGATCAACCCCCATGTGCCCAGTCGCACATGCTGCCAGGTCACCCAGGCTCGAAGGCCGGAAGGGTTTTGGCTTCTGGGGGGGAGGCACCTCTCAAAGAGCTCGCTGGCGCGAGTTCGGTAGGGAATGCGGTTGAATGAACCGGTTCTAGGTCCCCCAGTGCCCTTTTACCCTTTTTTTGGGGGAGGGTTCCCCTACTAAAATAGACGACGGAAAAAAGGGTACCCTTATTTATTCCGTTTATTCTAACCTCTGTACCTGAGGACCTTTTGGGGATTCCAACTTGAAGGGAGCCATAGGATGGATGCTTCTTGGAGTCAGACTCCATTTCTCATTCCTTGCTTAGCGCCAGCAAGTCATGAAGCGAGCTGGTGATGGGCTCTCCCTTGCCGCAAAGCTTTGCGGCTCGAAGTTGCTCTTGACTGCCTATTTTTGCTACCTCTTCCGCCCGGTTAGAGAGTGCTATTGCTGCAGCACAAAGGTGGCCAGAGCTCAGAACCAACGCCGTGGCATTGGCAGAGGCATTTGCTCATTATCATTGTTATGCCAGAATCTGTAGTTTTTTCCTGGATCGAACTTGTAGAATCGTCCCAGGATCGTGTTTTACGGGCGACGACCCTGAAAGTGGTCACTCTTATGGGGTCCCTGTAAGGGTACCATTTGTTGGCTTTAGACAGGGAACTAAAAGTATCAGACAGCGATTTTGGGCTCCCCCATTTTAAGACATACCCATACCAAGCTTCTTTTGGTGGTGTTAAACATCGTATCAGATCAGGCCCAAGTAAGGGCGGGCGGGCTGTGAGAAGGGGGTGGGGCTGATAGTTTCTTTTGTTTGGGGGGGGGGGGTGCTCCCTGTATACAGCCAAAAGGGAGTCCTTTTTCGCGTGGGCGACTAGATCGCATTCCTTTTCGTGCGAATTTTGGTGAACAACTGCCCGGTATGGACCTCTACAGAGAGAGAGCTGGGCATTTCCTGTTTAAGCACCGAGCCATGTGGGGGCCCGGCTTGCGTTTTTTACACAAAGCCGCCAGCTACGCGTCCAAGGAGATCAGCACGGGCAGCATGTCAATCATCATTTTGTTTAAATGAACACCCACAGTTTTGGGATCCCGCGAGGCTTAAGCAACCCCTGAGTGGGGGGGGGCCGTGGGTTTCCACGCGGTCCACGCGTTGCGAACCACCTTCCAGGGCTCTCTCCAATGAGTGTTCGTTTTTGTTCCAGGCTTGAGTGCTCTTTTTCTCAAAACCAACAAATGGTGCCCTGAAGGGCTGCTAATCGGCTGGACATTTCTCGACAGACCCGCGTGAAGAGCCTTGCGCAAGTTTGAATCCAGCACATCCGCGCTAGGATTTTTTTTTTTTTTTTTTTTTTTTTAACTTGCAACTTCCCCTGCTCACCGCCATTGACCCATATGTGTGCAATTCCATATGTTTGTATCCATTCGGTCCCTTCTTTCCCTCAAGTTTCATGTGCGAGGGGGGGCCCTGTTATTTCGACCCCAAACCAGTTTTTGGGTCACCAAGAAACAAAATTAAAAATGGAGGTCCAAAAACGATTGGTTTGGCCTTGGAAAAGCCACGGCCACCCCCAGATCCCCAAATAGAAAGGGGGCGCGTTGTGTTTTCTTTGGGGCATCTCCGAACAAAAGGTACCAACAGAGGTGCCCCAGCTTCCCTCCGCGCTCGCCAGGTACGCCAGGTACGCCAGCCCAGGCCGAAGCGGGGAAACGGCGCGGCGCCGGGGTTGACTTCAGAGCCGTACCCAGAAGCCGAGTGGGACATGTCATTTGTGCTACGAGAGCTGGAAGGGATCCAGACTTTCTGGAGTTCTTCGCAGCTGCGGTTGCTGTGAAAAGGGCTTTTGGAGTTGCAAAGCCCTGAGGCATAGGGCACCCATCGGCTTCATGAAACCTCAAAAACCCTACTTGTAGCTCAGAGCTGCGCTTTGGCCTGGTGAAAAGTTCGCCCTTTCACGGCCTGGAGGTTTGAGTGTGAGCCCATTTATTTGAGCCCACAATCAAAGGGAAGTGAAGGACGGATAGTTCCAACCAGATGCGGCAAGAAGCCAACGTGCGATTCTTTACCATGGGTTTTGGGCAGACGGTTCCAAGACCACAGATTCGGAGTTCAGGCCCTTGTCTTGGTTTCACTTGAGCCACAACCAAAACCCGGGTAGATGAAGGTTAGAAAGGGACAATCCCAACCAGAAGCTGCGGGAATCCGCCTTCTGAATTCTTGAAGCATGGTTCTGGGATTACGGCCATTTTAATACCGGGTTTTGATCATGACTCACTTGGGCTCTCCAAATGGGGGAGGCCCGATTTGGTAGCCCTGCAACCGCCAAAGGTGCCATGGTCAGAACACCCTTGCTCGGGCGTGGGATGGTCATCAACCCCTAAATCAGAGTTACCACACTTCCGTAAAATCAATGACCACGATGGTAGCCCCCGGCCTTTCCTGTCTAGGAAGAAAGAGGCCTCAGAATGGAAGAGGAGCTTTATTTATGAAAGGATTCCCCTCCCACTTCCATTTGAAGTATGAATGGTGACAGCTACACATAGTTTCATAGTCCTTGCCTTTGGGCCACCCCAAGACTTTTTCACAAAACCTGACGTTTGCAACTGGGGTCTCCTAAGCCATCTTCTCAAAGGCTAGATCTTTCCCACAGGGGACTGCAGGTTTGTTCTTGTTTCCATTTACCAGGGTTTCATTTTGGGCACCTCGTTTTTCAACAACCTTCCGTCCCTCAGGCGGAGCGGGATCGCCGGCCCCGCCGACTCCCAGACACCTCGAGCTTGCGAGGTGCCTGGTCCATTTGGGGCGGCCGCCTTTAAAATCGAGCAGCGAGAAGGGGCGGCATTTCTTGTTCAAGTTGAGTGGGGGTTTCGGGGAATTTTGGCGATTTCCACCAAACCCCAAATTACCCAGGATCTCGGCTGCGAATTGGGTTGGTCTTTGACCTTCGCCCGGCTACCTAGGGATGTGCAGTGATGGATTCAAAACGTCCAAGTATGGGCAGACCCAAACTGGTGGCCCTGCAAAGAAAACATCCAGAGGTGCCACCCATTGCTCGGGCTTGGGATGGTCGTCAACTTGGTTTTTCCCAGCCAAGCTCGATCGGCCCGGAGCAGATTGCAGGGAGGCTTCTACAAGGAGGGTCCCTGAGTGTTCCGGGGCTGTTGGCGATATCGCCTGGGTCGTTATTTTTGTTGGGGGGGGGGGGGCACTTTGTGTCAGGCCCCCCGTACTGGTGGTTTGGATTTGAGTTGTGGGATTAAGAGCCCCGGTTCCTGTCGAAATGGGAAAACATCCGGGAAAAACACTCAGCTCAGCAGCTGAATGTGACCTCCTGACACCCAACGGGTTCAACCTTGTGCAAGCGAGTTATTCATATTGTTTATAAACAAAAAAGGAGGTTTCCCCAACAGCCCGCTCCGGACACCTGCCAACATCTGCTCCATACAACCCCCGAACCAGCCACCGCTTCGCACACAAGGTTGTCCAGCCGAGCCGCGCAGCCTATCGCTCCAATGAGCCCCCAGCACCTTCCAGCCTTTGCCAAACGAAGGACACCTGGTGGACCTCAAAAAGAGGGATCCCTCTACTTCACTGGGGAAATGGTCTGGCTTGGTCCTATTGATCCAACTGATATTCAGTCCACTTTTGGTGAATCATCCGGGCCCCGATTCAGCCGCTCCGAATCCATCCATCGACCTTTCGCCAAGAGACATGTCGCCAACTCCAGCCCCCCCTTGGAGCTGCTCGGACCACTCCGGGCTGGCCTATCGACCCCTTTTTTCTTGAGCAACAGGAGTATCCCAAAAGGTGGGAACCTGTTATTCGTCATTTTTAGTGATACTCCTTTGTTCCGTCCATTTTTAGTGATAATTAAACCCAAGAGGTGAGAACCTTTGATGTCTGGGTCCAGCGGCCAAGGGGTGCCTGACACTGCCCAACTTGCCGCCCCAGAGCCTGGTCAGGCAAGCGGAGCTCCAGGGAAAGGAGGAGCCCGAAAGCATCGGGCTGCGCGTTTGGCTCGCGCGCGGTCTGAGCTCCGGGTCGGACTTTCGTCACTTGGGTTGGACCCATTTTGGCGGTACATCAAAGTCTAGACTTTATTTCGGTTCCAATCCACTCAAGACTCAGGAAGTGAGTTGAGCTGGTAGCTCAAAAGGCGCATTTCACAGTTAGCCAATCCTGCGTCTGCGGCCCTGGGTTTTCTCGCAGGGCGGGGAGGCACCGGGTCTATTGGGATGCTCCTTGGTCTTAGCTGTTGGCCTTGTTGCTTGTCTGAGGTCCCAATTCTTTGTGAAACCCAACACATAATTGCTTTTGTGCCATTCAGTTGCAACGCAGCTAATGAATAGTTTCCCCGTTGTCAAGAAAACAAAGGGGTGTTGTGTCTCGCCTTTCAGTGGTGGTTTGCTACTGCCTTCCACAAGTGCATCACACACACAGAGACATTTGGTGGTTCTTGCGGCGTAGTTCTTGCGGCCTAAACCCGGACAACCCATGCGTTTGAATCCATGTTGCTTCCAGCGAAGCCTTGAACACTGAATCAAGGTTTCCCCACCAAAAGTGGACCGAGGGTCAGTTGGATCAATAGGACCAAGCCAGTTTACAATTTCCCTAGTGAAATAAAGGGATCCCTCTTTTTGACGTCCACTAGGTTTTCTTTGTGTGTTTCTTTCCCAGCAACAGGCATCTTCAGAGTGAACCTCAACAAAACTGCAAGCTAACTTTCCCTTTCCACAGGTCAACAGGGGGCAAAACATGTTGCTCCTGGCACAACAATCCCATTCTTAGTTTTTTGGTAAGGGGACTCCTTCAAGGTCGTTCAACGGGTTCCAATAGACGGGTCGGATCGCTTGCGCAAAAGAACAATCATGTATGCATAGTTCGCCCAACTATACTGGACATTTTGTTTGGATTTAAAGATGGTCCAAGCTCCTGCATCCCACAGAAAAGCAAAGCAATTTGTTTGTTTGTTTGTTTTCGAGGGTACTCGGTTTTTCAGGCAAACCAAAGGGACAATGGCCTGGCTCTCAGGATTCCGCCTCCTCCCCGGCCTCGCCGGTCCAGAGATCGCAGGCGAAGGGACTGGGAGTTGGGAGAAAGCCGCGAGGCTTGGCTATAAACATGCTGGTTGGGAAGCTGTTTTTTCATTTTGGCTTGTTGTGGTTTAGTGGTTGAAGAAGATCACCTATACATGCTTGTTGTTGGGAAACAGTTGACACATTTTTGCTTATTGTGGTTTAGTGGTTGAAATCCAAATCCACTTCGCTGCTAAGATTTTTTGATTTTGTTGTCTCCCCTTCCAACGGGCGAACATGGGTGTCCTTTTTGGGTTTGCTCGAAAAATAGAGGGGTTTCGGTTCCTGGTTTACCTGGTGGTTTTTTTTCTCATTGACCAGGGACACCCATCTATTTCCCCGAGAAAAGGACACCTATGCTTGCGCCGGGTGTGTCTTTTTGAGGTTGGATCCCAGAAGATGGCTTTGGTGTTCTTTTTGGTTTCCTTCAAAGCGGCACCCCTGCCCAACGAAAAGACACACCCAAGTATTGGCTTAGTTGATCCCAGAAATCCGGTTCATTCCGTTTTCTTTTTTTGGGTTTAATGGGAGTTTCCGTTTGCCCCACCAAAAGTTGAAGTTTTTAGCAGGGGATCTAAGGACAGCCAAGAGAAGAATGATTGGTTGGGATGCATTTTTTCAGGGGGTCGTGCTACCAGCCTTTTGAAAAAAGGGTCAAAGTGAGTGGTTGGGGGGACTGGCTCAAAATGAGTGGCAGTCCTCTTGTTTTTTTTGATGTTCATTTAGATCCCAATGAGTGGCTGTCTTCGGCACTGCGCCTTTCCGTCAAAGTTGAGCAGGTAGGGGTCTTTCTTGCCAAACATCATCCTGTCGCACTGCCCACCCCGTTTTCTCAGCGGAATGCCTGGAGATCTGCATTTAAATTTCAATGTCCCTCTTCATAGTCCCACAAGTTCAAGTGGGCACCCCTCTGCAGGCGAAACAAAATCCTCAGCATCGAGTCCGGTTCCCTGCGCCTTTTGCCCAAGGGAGCCCAGTGTTGGCCTTTGCCTTGGTTTTGGCCAGGACTTTGTGTGGGACGCTCGATCCCATGCCAATGGCGTCCCCCGAACAGAATTGGTCTACCCGTATGCCAGGAGATCTTTTCTTGGAAAGACAGTCACGCCACTTGGACCTTTGCAGGGGTGTCCCGCGAAAAGTTTGGGACAATGGCGTTGTCACAAAATAGGAATTGAACCAAACAACTTGGCTGTTGCGGAAGCCCGGCGAGGTGAATTTCAGCCTGAAGGGACTCCAGAAGCATCTGGCTGAGCTTCTATTTAGCACACCCGCAAGCTTTTCTCGCTTGGGCGGCAGTTGCTCCTGATTGCCACTGTCATTGCCAAGTTCTTCCCCCATGTGATGCCAACATCCGTGGTTGAGCCCTATGGATAGCTTCAGCTAGTTCTAGGCAACCTTTCTGAACCAAAGCGGACGCATGACCCCACATTCTTGTTCCTTTCCCGGCCGTACTAGGTATGACTGGGATCTCCTTGCAAAGGAGTTTACTCATTCAGGTTCGCTCCAACCCAGCCCAGGAATCCAAATGCCAAAAGCTGAGGCCTCCCTTTCCCTTGTCCTCAACTGCTTCGATAGGCAGGGAACGAGAAATGGAATGACCCCAAGGAAAAACCATCCTATGGTTTCCTTTAAGTTGGAATCCCCACACGGTTCATTCTCAACACCCAGCCTCGGAGTCGGAGAGTCATTCACTACCTACTTCATACAGAGGGGTTGGTTTTTGGGTCCTTTTTGTTGTATCACAGACTCCTGGATTCCATTTCCGCTTCATATGGGGTGGTCTTTTCGCCCCTGCTTTCCCAGGCGTGAGGAGCCTCGGCGCTCGTTGCGCCCATCGCTGCGCGACGAGCGCCGGGAGCCGCGCGCGCCCCGCGAGCGCCGGGAGGAGCGGGCGCCGCGGGCGCCGCGGGCGCCGGCGCCGGCGCCGCGGCGGGCGACGGAGAGACTCCGGGAGGCATGCGGACAGGGAGCGGGGAATGGTTGATTGGTTGATTGGTTGTGATTGCTTGTGGGTGTCTGGTTTGTTGGTTAACCTCATATCCGTTTCTTGGGCAGGTCATTTGGCTTATTTTGGTCGGGGAATGGAAGTCAGGGAATGGAGACCTTAGATGTTGACCCTGGATTTTTATCTACCCGGCCCATTATTACGGGGGGGTTCCCTCCAAAAGTCATGAATCCCCAGCAAACGGGGACACCCGCCGATCAAAATCAACCAGGGGTTCATGAATCCGTGGTTAACATTGTTTGTACGTCTGCACATCGCAAGCTCACCTGGGGGGGGTAAAACGAGCTCACTTCTTTACTTGGGGATCCCTTATTTGGGTTGTCCTTGAACTGGTTTGTTTTGCATGTTGGCCTTCCTTCGCAACGGAGAAATGGTTGGTGGCTTGTTGTTTCAAACAAACAGCCAGTGTTGTTTTGGACATGTGGCAAACATTGAAGAGTATACCAGTCTCCATCAGTCTCTTTTTTGGGGAAAGTCTCTAAAGCAGGGCTATTGCGGCTATACCTTCCGCCGTAAGGGCGTTTGTTTCCTCAGCTAATTTGCTAGTGTCAATCCACATTGGGCGCCACTCCATGGAAAGGCAGGGGAGTTTCCTCAGCTAATTTGCTAGTGCCGATCCACATTGGGGGCCACTCCATGGAAAGGCAGGGGACATTTTGATTCGATTCCCATAACTTCCTTACTTGGAACATCATGAACCAGGGCCGAGCCTCAGAAAGGCGCGGGTCAGGGTATTTTTGTTGAAGCAAGTTTTGGTTGTTTGGTAACCACAAACATCGCAGGGGCTTTCATTCTGCCAAGCCAGAAGAGAGAGTCTGAGTCGGAACGTGGCTGTGTAAGGTTCATCCCTGCTGCACTGCAAGAACAGCCGCACAAGTCAAACATAGGCTCACGCAAGGAATGCGCAACTCAAGTCGCAACATGTGGAACCGCTTTCCGTCGATAGCGACGCTTGTGCCACAAGAAAGACAGCGCAGTGATCATAAATTTAAACTTAGTAGCGCTGCCCCCTGTGCGCCAAGTGCCACGGAAAATTAGAAGTTCTCCTATGTTGAGCGGCATACCCTGAAATCAGGTGCCCTTTGCTATAAGTATTAACCCCATTTGAGAGGCTCGGTGTGTATGGCATGGCTTGGGCAAAAGTCTTATGAAGATCGCCACTTGGCACGGCAACGGAAACAAATTCGGATGTTTGGGTAAAAATGCCCTTTTTGGGATACTCTTTTTGGGGTTGTGTCGAAGGAAACCAACGTAATGTGTCGGTCAAAGAAGTACGAAACGAACGGGAAACAACAATTCGTTGTTGCTTCTAAATTGAAGCCAAAAGGAAACCGTTCACTTTTTGCTGGGTTCCACCCAATGTGAGACAGAATCTGTTTTCCAGCTGCGCTCCTTGCATCGGAGGACCGACGGGAGACGAGTCGACGAGATCGAGATCGGGAACGGGATCGGCCACGGAGGGAAGAAGCAGAGAGGCGCATGGGTCCGGAGATATCCTTTCTTGCCATTTGAGCCTCGCGAAAACCCAATGGCCATTTTAGCAGGTGGTCCTACCAAACCAACGCCCTCTAATGAACATCATTGAGGTGGGGATTTATGTCGGACTTAGTTTGGCTCGTTCACTCCTCCAAAAACATGTATTTTGTTGAAGGTGTCTAGATCTGGCCAAGTTTTCTGGGCGCCATGTTTTGTGTTTTTGTTTTTTTCTCGGGGGTGCGCTTCGGCGCCTGAAAATACGCTTTCTGGTTTTAGTTTTCCGTGTTTGGTTTCCATGTTAAATGGCTCACGTTGGTGCGAGACACAGATCTGTGGTACCTCGAACAAATCCCTCCGCCCTTGCGGTCTCCTCGCCTGCAGAGTTGGGCTTGGTTAAAAGAGATAGGACTTGGAGACGTCATGGTGAGAGACGGTTTATCAGGTAAATGCTTCATGGTTCGGATTGGTGATGTGGGGAGTTGAACCTGTGGTTCTTATGGAGGGCAGAAGGGGAACCCCTCCTAACCTACAAACCACCAATCCAACCCACC